AAGGACTGCTCTTTGTACAAGGACTGCTCTCGAAAAAGGGATGTACAAGGACTGCTCTCGAAAAGGAAAATGTACAAGGACTGCTCTCGAAAGGGAAATGTACAAGGACTGCTCTCGAAAAGGAAATGTACTGCTCCGAAAAGGGAAAATGTAAGGACTGCTCTCGAAAGGGAATGTACGACTGCCTCTCGAAAGGAAAATGTACAAGGACTCTCCGAAAAGGGAAATGTACAAGGACTGCTCTCGAAAAGGGAAATGTCAAATCGGGAATGTACAAGGACTGCTCTCGAAAGGAGAAATGTACAAGGACTGCTCTCGAAAAGGGAAATGTACAAGGACTGCTCTCGAAAAGGGAAATGTCACAAGGACTGCTCTGAAAATGTACAAGGACTGCTCTCCGAAAAGGGAAATGTACAAGGACTGCTCTCGAAAAGGGAAATGAAGGACTGCTCTCGAAAAGGGAAATGTACAGGACTGCCTCTCGAAAAGGGAAATGTGCTCTTCGAAAAGGAAATGTACAAGGACTGCTCTCGAAAAGGGAATGTAACAAGGACTGCTCTCGAAAAAGGGAAATGTACAAGGACTGTGAATGTACAAGGACTGCTCTCAAGGACTGCTCTCAAGGGAAATGTACTGCTCTCAAATGTACAAGGATGCTCTCGAAAAGGGAAATGTACAAGGACTGCTCTCGAAAAGGGAAATGTACAAGGACTGCTCTCGAAAAGGGAAGTGTACAAGGACTGCTCTCGAAAAGGGAAATGTACAAGGACTGCCTCTCGAAAGGGGTGTACAAGGACTCGCCTATGTACAAGGAACTGCTCTCGAAGGAAAATGTACAACGGACTGCTCTCGAAAAGGGAAATGTACAAGGACTGCTCTCGAAAGGGAAATGTAACAAGGACGCTCTCCGAAAAGGGAAATGTACAAGGACTGCTCTCGAAAAGGGAATGTACAAGGACTGCTCTCGAAAGGGAAATGTGCAAGGACTGCTCTCGAAAAGGGAAATGTAGCAAGGACTGCTCTCGAAGAGGGAAATGTACAAGGACTGCTCTCGAAAAGGGAAATGTACAAGGACTGCTCTCGAAAAGGGAAATGTACAAGGACTGCTCTCGAAAAGGGAAATGTGCAAGGACTGCTCTCAAGGACTGCTCTCGAAAAGGGAAATGTACCTCTCGAAGGTAGAAATGTACAAGGACTGCTCTCGAAAGGGAATGTACAGGACGAAAAGGGAAATGTACAAGGACTGCTCCCGAAAAGGGAAATGTCAAGGACTGCTCTCGAAAAGGAATGTACAAGGACTGTCTCGAAAAGGGAAATGTAAAGGACTGCTTCTCGAAAAGGGAAATGTACAAGGACTGCTCTCTGGAAAAGGGAAATGTACAAGGACTGCTCTGAAAAGGGAAATGTAACAAGGACTGCTCTCGAAAGGGAAATTACAGACTGCTCAAGGACTGCGAAGGGAAATGTACAAGGATGCCTCGAAAAGGGAAATGTACAAGGACTGCTCTCGAAAAGGGAAATGTACAATATCACTGTTGCTGATAATAATGACAACTGTGATATTGGTGAATAATGATGATAAAGGTAAATATAACGGTGATGACAGGCATTGCGTTAGTGATCATTACTATCATTTCTTTTTTTTTAGGGTTTTCTTTATTATCATCCTTGTCATTAGCATTATTATCATTACCATTCCTGGCATTATCACTTCACTAACGTTATTGAAAATGTGAAATAGAATACCTCATTTTTGGAGATGAAAACGCCAAGGAATTCCAAAGAAAGGAAACAAACAAACGCATCGTAAAAGTGTAAACAAGAGAGAGAGAGTGAGAGAGAGAGAGAGAGAGAGAGAGAGAGAGAGAGAGAGAGAGAGAGAGAGAGAGAGAGAGAGAGAAGAGAGAGAGAGAAGAGAAAGAGAGAGAGAGAGAGAGAAGAGAGAGAGAGAGAGAGAGAGAGAGAGAGAGAGAGAAGAGAGAGAGAGAGAGAGAGAGAGAGAGAGATAGAGAGAGTGAGGAGAGAGAGAGAGAGAAGAGAGAGAAGAGAGAGAGAGAGAGAGAGAGAGAGAGAGAGAAGAGAGAGAGAGAGAGAGAGAGAGAGAGAGATGGGTGAGTGAGTCAGCTAGTGCAGCTCATTCATGTTCAATTATATCGATTTAATATACTGACAAGAATATTACAACAAAATCAATCAATGAATTCTAAATGGTAATACGGATTATTAAGCATTTTTTTTTTTCTCTTTATCACTCATGCTAGACAGTTAAAAGCAGAGGAGGCTGAGTATCTGAACACATAACACTAAATAAAATACACTGCTATACCTATTCCCATATGAATTAACATAAAAAAGACGACCAGAAAATAACATGACTGACTGACTTGACTGACTGACTGACCTCTTCAGCAACATAATGAAGAAGGGCTGACTTAGCGCGCGCTGCTTCTTCGTAAATCGGTGGCATGTCCAGGGGGGTGCGGGGCGTCCAGAGCCATTCCTGCAAGGGCGTTATGGTTAGTTTGTGTTCATCCTGTGTGGCATTGCAGGGTGCAGTTGGCTGGTAGGTCATAGACACTTTAAAAGTTTGGAGATGCGCTATTTGTATATGTATATGTATGTATGTATGTATGTATGTATATGTATATATATATATATATATATTATATAATATATATATATATAATATAATATATATATATATATTATATATATAAACAGCTGGAAGATTTATGTAGTGGCTGGAGCGAGGGAAAGGAGAAGGTGAGAGTGAGAGTGAGGGGGGAGAGGGAGAGAGGGAGAGGGAGAGGGAGAGGGAGAGAGAGAGAGAGAGAGAGGAGAGGGAGAGAGAGAGGGAGAGAGGGAGAGAGAGAGAGAGAGAGAGAGCGAGAGAGAGAGAGAGAGAGAGAGAGAGAGAGAAGAGAGAGAGAGAGAGAGAGAGAGAGAGAGAGAGAGAGAGAGAGAGAGAGAGAAGAGAGAGAGAGGAGAGGAAGAGGAAGAGGAAGAGAAGGAGGAGAGAGAAAGAGAGAGAGAGAGACAGAGAGAGAGAGAGACCGAGACAGAGAAAAAGAGAGACAGAAAGTGATAATTTTTCTAAATTTGAAGGTTGGTAGTTGGTAGCGCAGGGTACTTTATCCCGGAATACCAGCAAGAGTCTCATAAAAGTTGAAATCGCGAAAATAATCCGATCAAAATAACGATTTTGGAAAAAAAAAAGTGGACGGCCCCTTAAAGGACCACACATGTTCTAACGACGCAGGTATGGTCGTTATCGAACGTTATCTATGGTAACTGACTCTCCATACACCTCTCCCCACCCCACACACATACAAAAAAAAATGTGATTGAACTTTCATATGAGTCTTATAGCAATCAGCAATTGATGAAACACGATGTCTCCTCTATCTTTCATCATCTTCTCCCTCCTCCTTCTTTAATTTATTATTTTCGTTATCTTCATCCCTCTCACTTTTTCTTCTACGATATTCCATCTCCTATTTCTCTCTCTCTCCCATCTACATCATCTAATTCACACCTCCCCCCCTTCCCCCTTCCTTTCCCGACAATTTTCTTTATTTTTTTCCGTTTTTCCTTCTCCTCTCTTTCGTGGTTATTTTGGGATTGTTTTCCTATCGTTCCATATTTTGGGCACGTTTCGCCTATCCCCTCAGTAGCTCTCTTCTTCCTCCCCCTCTTCTTTTTTTAAAATCGAAATTTCCATCCGTCTCTCAACCCATCAACATCACATCCCACCTCTCCTCTATCCCCATACCCTCCATACCCTCCACTTCCGTCCCTTCCAGTCAACTCAACCCTGCCAACTCCACTCACACCACGCGGCTCTTTTCAGCACTAACCTCCGTCTCATCATACCTCCCTCCCCCTCTTCTCTCCAATCACGCTCTTTTTCCCTTCAACTTGATTCTCACGTCCATCACTAACATCTCTTTTCAAGGTTTCTCCCGTCATTAAGTCACATTTCTCTCGCATCACTAAATATAATACTACTTGTCATTTCTCCTCTCCATCGCCAAATATTTTCGATCTATTCTCCTCGCCCTCTCAAACCACTAATTAATATAATTACTTATTACTTGCCTCTATTCTCCCCCTCCTCCACTCTAAATATTTTTCCGCCTTCTCCCCTCTCTCCCCAACAATAACACTCTGCTCTCCCTATCTTCCTCTCTTCCATATCCTTTCACTAATATACTCCTCTCGTCACAACAAAATATCTCCCTCTCCAACACATAAAATAACTCCTCTCTCAACACTAAAATACTCCTCTCTCCAATAACATAATACGTTCGCCTTTCTCCCTCTCTCCACCAATAAACACCCCTCTCTCTCCCCCATCCCCCAATACCTTCCATCTCTCCAACACTAATCATCCGCTTTCTACCCTCTCTCCACCCAACCAATTAAACACTTATTACCTTCTCTTCACCCCCCTGCCACCTCCCACCCCCCCAACTCCCAATACCCTCGGCACCCTTTTACGCTGTTGCAATAATTCATATCCGAGACACAGACATTCCCTGCAGCCGCCTTTCTCGTCCTCGAGCTGAGGGCGGTGCGAATAGGCACCCGGGGTGGGGCTGCTCCAGGAGATGCCCCTCCACGCCCCCTATTTTGCTCTCCAGCCAGGCAGTGAGGGAGAGGAACATACCACTTTACCTCCTCCATGCGCTCCACGCTCCAACGAATAAGACCGTTCCTTATTTGACTGGTGAAGGAAAGATGGGAGGTTTATTGTTTTTTTTTGTGGGTGATTTTTTTTTTTTTTTTTTTTTTTTTTTTTAATTTTTTTTTTTTTTTTTTTTTTTTTTTTTTGGAGTTTCATTGGGGAACGAAGGTGATAAATAGGACGAAGATTTTTTTTTTTTTTTTTTTTTTTTTTTTTTTTTTTTTTGTGTGTGTGATGGATGAGGAGAGAGAGAGAAGAAGAAGAGGAGAGNACGTAGTAAAGAGAAAGAAAAAAATGGGAAAGAAGAAGGTTGAGGTGAGTATGAAAAAAGAGAAATAAAAAATGGAAAAAAAAGGAATGCCGGTGAAGGTCGGCCCAGCGAGCTGCTACGCCTCGTGACAGTTATGATGAAAGAGAAATGAGAAAAAGGGAAAAGAAAAACGGGAAATAAGATGTGTGCATTGTTATAGTCGAATACGAAAATAGACGAAATTATGTAAATCGATCGGTTTGATAGCCGGCATGCTATGCGACCTCTCTCCCATAATATAGGCTGGGTATCGCCTGTGTAATGATTGGTAACCAGGTAACCGCGCACAGTCACACCTACAAACGCCATATAGACAGACAGACAGATAGACCAAACAGGACTGGAACAGACAGGCAGACCAACTAGGGCAAGGCGGTCACAATAACTGCACGAGACATATAAACAGACAGAACCAAACATTCCAGCAACCTGACTGTGAGCCAAGTTTGGTGGCGTCACTGCGATATCACCTTTTACAGACGGAAATCAATATCTGCTTCTCCCCCCCCCCCCGTTCTTTAGCCGCCCTCTCCTCGAATGCACCCCAGTGCGCAAAATGTCTTTTTGCACCACAGCAAGCATTGCAGGCGTCGTCTCCGCTGCAAGCGACATAATGATGCACGTGGAAAGAGGGGGCTCTTGAGTCGCGGTGCCTGCCTCGTGTGTGAGTTTTTTTTTTCTTCTTTTTTTCTTTTTTCTTTTCTGCAAGCAGGAAACCTAGGTGAGAGGGTTTTGGGCGCTGCTTGTTTGCTTTTGTTTCTCGTCTGTCTTTTTTTTTTGTCTCTGTCATTTAGATAGTCTCGCTCTCTCTCGTTCGTGCCTCTCTTGCTCTTACTGTTCTATTCTTTGCTTTTCTTTCTCTTTCTCCCGCCCTCTCTTTTTCTCTTTCTCTTTTACTCCCTCTCCTCCTTCCTCTCTCCCTCCGTCTCCCTCCCTCCCTCCCTCCCTTCCCTACCCTCCTCCCTCTCTCCCTCCCTACCCCTCTCTTTTCTCCCTCCCTCCCTCCCTCTCCATCCCTCCCTCTCCGTCTCTCTCATCCCTCCCTCCCTCGGCCTCCCCTCCCTCCCCTCCCTCCGCTCCCTCCTCTCCGTCTTTCCTTCCCTCCTCCCTCCCTCCCTCCACCTCTGGATTTGGTTTGGATTAATCCGGGGATTAACACTGAGGGAGATTAGTGCCGGCGTGACATCGAAGGGATGTGTTGTATGGGATTTGTCTCACGGAAATTTGTTGCTCGCGTGGGTCTTCTGGGACATGATGGAGTGATCGATAGAAAAATAAGTGCTTGGTGCTGGCTATTGTGGCGGTGTTTGCGTGGCGTGTGGTTAGTTGGTTGTTGTTGTTGTTATGTTGTTAATGCTGCTGTGTGTTAAAATGTGTTTTGGTTGTTGTATTATCGTTACTGTTTTATTGTTGTTGTGATAATTATTATTGTTTATTTATTGTTATTATTGTTATTATTTTTGTTTATTGATTATTAATATCATTATCTTTAACATTAATACTTGTGGAAGTATTGGTATTATTATTATTTCTACAGACTATTAGTATTATCATTATTACTTTTTCTTTATTAGTTACAATGAACCCTTACGGTGAAGGTGCATCCTAGTGCTAGATGCTAATCTCTCCTTGTCAAGAGAGGCGTCTAAGGGTCTTCTAGAAAGCGAAAGGAAGGTGAGTGACATTTAGGCCTATGGCGGATCTTTAAGGAGGATCAGAGGCGTCTTCGAGGATTCCTTGGAGGTCGACATCTTTCTCCTCGTTATCTTCTCGTTTCTATTTCTTGGAGGTGGGCATCTTCTCGGTATCTTCTCGTTTCTAATCTTTGATTCTTTTCACTTATTTTCTCTTGACGTTTCTTTCTAATCCGCTTCCTCTTTCTCCTACTCCTCCTGTCTTTCCTTTCCTTTTCTCTCCCTAATCCGACTTCTTCACTCTCTGCCTTCTCTTCTTTCCTGTGTTTAATTCTCTCTCTCCTCTTCTTTTCCTCCGCTTTTCTTTCTCTCTTCCCTTTCCCGCGGCTGTTTTTCTCCCTCTCCCTCTCTCCGGTTCTCTTCCCATCTCTCTCCCAACCTTACCACTTCTCTCTCCCACTCCCACTTCCCCGTTCCGCTACTTCGCGCCGCCCCCTCCCCCGACGTCCCCTTAACCCCCACCCCTAACCTTCCCCCTCTTTCTCCCTTCCCCTTCCCTCCTCATCCTTATCCATCTCCCCCTCCCCTACTTCTACGCCCTCCCTTCCCCACCCTAGCCCTCCTTCCCCTCCCTCCCCACCCCCTCCTTTCCCCTTCCTCCCATCCCTACCCCTCCCCTCCACCACCTCATAGCCCTCCACTCCCCCTCCCCACCCCTAAGCCCTCCCCTTTACCCCCCCTCCCCACCCCACCCTAGCCCTCCCCTCCCTCCCTCTTCCCCGAGCCGCCGCGCATCCAGGCTGTTGAAACAGTTCGGTGTGTCTCAACATGTGACACATCCCGCAGTGGTGGGTCGGCCGCCTCCGGGG